GCACAGTTTTATGTGGATTGTGCTATGATAAGGTTGTTAGGAATCAACTCATTTCAAAACAATGTGCTGAGCAAAATGGGGAGTTCACCTTGTTTTCTGAAAATTAGAGGTTTGAAAGCTATATAAAATTGGTTGTGGTTTTGAAACCACTTTAGCAGTTATTAGTTTTGAAATTACTTTTTTTTTGAGGGTAGCATGCGTGGCTGCTGTATAAAGCAGCAGTTTTTCTGGGTACATGATATCTCTGAAAATCAGATTCTGGAGGTTTTTTCGAAGTTCTTTTTTCTAATAGCTGAGCAGGCCATACTGGGGTTTGGGTTTAAATAACTAGCATTAACAACACAGCATATTTAGTGCATTAGGGGACATCAGAAGGAATCTTATCTTACATCGTTCTACTTCATGACAGCAAGGATGTGGGGCCCAGTGAAACCACTAGAGTACCTTGGCTGTTTTTGTGGGTGTTGTTACCCAGCTAAAGATCTTCAGCTGTTACCACACAGGTTTAAGTGTAAATTTCAGAATACCAAGCCTCATAGCTATTCTACAGGGGTGCCAGGTTACAGAAAAAATATTTACTTTCTTCCTTATTCTAGTATATTTGTTTTCCCTAATTCTCTGCCGCTTAACTAAGAAAAGTAAATCTGATGACTAAGTAATTTCTCACATTGGATTATGTTTTAGGCTTCTTATCAGCTTCTATTGTATAAGTAAGTATAATCTGACTCATGGGAGAAGAACTGTTACCAAATGTATGTTTATTTGAAATTTTTGGTAAAAGGTAAAAATATATAAAGTTTTTCTACATCTTAAACCATTATTAGCAATGTTTTGCTCATACCACACTTTCCTGAATGGACAGAGATAGTGTGTAGCTGGTGGGGCTTTACTGGTGTCCCTGATTAATGTTTCCAATTTTAATTATTATTTTTTTAAATATAAACTGTGTTAGGTGGAAGAAATAGTACAGATCTGCAAATATTTATCATGTTGTTCATGTATTAAAGTTGCACATATATGTTTGGGGAGGATGCGTATGGGCAGTGATGCCACAGAACAGTATGAACCATTACAACTCCTGCAGAGTTGCTTAGAAACTGGATCTGTATGAGACTGTGTTCTGGCAAGATTCCCAAGAACTTGGACTCCTAATAATTTAAAATAGTGTTTCCCAATATCTGGATCCATTAAGTTACATCTTTTCATGCAACTGCAGGTATTTCTTAGAGCTGTAGGTACGCTGGAGGACTGCTGCCATTCAGAAACAGAATTACCCATGTCTTGATTGTGCTGAATTGCCTGGCATCTCTACTATTCCTAAACCACAACAGGATTCAGAAACAAGGTGTTTTACTGACTGTGTACTATCTAATCCACATCTTATATGCTTAGCACCAGTTCTTTTCATCTACCTACAGAAGGAAGCAGTTTCAGCTGGTGGGTTTAGAGGTTTCGTAAAATGAGGAACCTATGTTCGAAGATTTTCTGCATATCAGGTAGAGAAAGGACTTGAAAAGGACACTGCTTTTCTTTTTTTGCCTCTTTTTTTTTTTTTTTTTTTGAGAACCAACCATGCTGAGCACTTTTAACCGCAGGATGAGGCTCGCAGTTATGAATGGAAGTGGATTTAAGTGACCAAATATTTCTGAAGGGGATCCTAAACGTATCTTCTCCTTTGGTATTTCCTCCTAGCTGGGTCAGCCAGTTGACATTAAACATCGTTGTATTTGTTGAACAAGGAGCCCGAAGATGTTAACTTGCAGCTGTGAACACTGACGGGTAGAAAGAAAGATATTATAGTTAGGGATCATGAGAAAACTAGTTTTAGTAAAATGCAGATGAAAAGGAGAAATCCCTCTATCCTTAAGAGATAATAGTAAATTGGCAAAAGAGAAAAAAGCTGTGAAGCAGAAGTATTTCTACCTTACAGGTGAGGGGCTGATGTGTTGGTTTGCTGAGGTTCATAAAACAAACCTCAGCTAGGATCAAACGTAAATGCCCTTGCAGAAGAAGGCACTGGAACCAGAAGGAAGTTACTCACAAGATCCTAATTGTCATTGCTGGGAAACCAGAAGACCAAAGACTCTGGTTTGTTTTTTACTTGAAAATCTTTATACATGTATACAGATTTTTCTAGGATCTATCTCTGACCAAGCGAGGATTAGCTGTACTGTATGCAAAAGAGACAAAATGCTCACAGAAACATTGAGCATACAAAGAGCTAAAAAAGCATACAAAGATAAATACATCAGATAGATACAGAGATGGGAAGCAATGTTTAGAATTCTGATTGTCAGATCAGACTCTATCTGCAAGGTAAGCTGCTTCCCTAATTAACAAGAGCACTTTCCTTCTACAAAAGCCACTGGTGGTCACATGCCATTTTTTCATTCTTAAAACAAGAAAAAAAAATTGCTACAATATCACTTAGAATCACCAAAAGTTTCCTTAAATTTTTATAAATTTTGTATGTATGTGTCTACAAATCTGGAGTGATCTGTTAGTTCTAGACTGGTTTTTATCCAACTATGGCTTTCTATTCTTATACAAGTAAAAGAAATTTCTCAACCCTTAAAATTGTCCTCAATATTTGCATGATGAGTGTGTAAGCAAAACTAAAAAGGCTCATTCCTACCCTCATTATTCAGTCTCCACTTCAGCGATGTCATTAAACAAACAAATACTATATAAAGGGGACTTGTGTGAACTGCTCTTTCATTTCACTTTGAAGCAGAACGGTAAGTAAGTTGAATTTCCTTTTAATAAATCACAAGGAACTTCAGCTAGAAGGCAAACCTGTTCCTTTTCATTTCTGTGGTCGTATTTACATTTTAAAATTAAATTTTCTTTTACTAGTTTTGTTTTGGTTTTTTTTTTTACTTTGCCTATATTAGCAATTTTAATGGATGAGGAGATGCCTGAAGGACACCAGATTGTAATGACTGATGAAGGTCATTAAAACTGGATTAAAACTGAGAAGCTGCTTTTTCCATTTTGCTATGTAACTGATCAGGACTCTGACTCTGCACCATAATCCAATTATGAGCCAAATGTGGTAGTGCATTCAAATGTAATTCCCTGAATGATTAGCACCAGACAAAGAGTACCTGTTGTAATTACATTTCCTTATCTCAGGGAGGTACGTATTCCTAGCTACCTAAGGTAGGTTTCTGTTAGAGGTTTTAATGATCTGCTTTCTGAGTCATTGGCTATAGTTGTCAGAGATGTCTGCTAGCCTTCAGTATAGTAAAAGGTAAACAACTTGAGATGCTGAAGATTCAACACATGAAATTTAACAGTGCTTTTAATACAGCACATGTGTTCTCAGGTGGATTTGAAATTTCCACTTATTAAAGTGGAAATTCTTGACTATGAGGAATAGAGGCTGCTAATACTTAAACAGATTCTATACGAAGTGAAATACCAAAACTTGTGACAGAAGAGAATATTCATGTGTTCAAGGGTGTGTCCCACTGATTTGATTTTGATGAGACATTCCTCTAGAAATACAAGTAAACATTACCCTTAAAAATAGTTGGTATTGTTGCAGATTTAGAATAATTTCAAAAGCCTTTTATGACAGAGTCAGTCTGGAAGACATAAACAATATTTTGGGTTTTTAAAAGCTCAGTCCAATTTGAGCAACCTGGTCTAGTGGAAGGGATCCCTGCCTGTGGCAGGGGGTTTGGAACTGGATGGTCTTTAAAGGTCCCTTCGAACCCAAACCATTCTAAGATTCAATTATTTAACATTTGGTAATAATAATAAACTGATATTTCGATTCTGCTTGGCATATATGCTTCAAAACAAATACCATGTTTCATCTGATGAACTCAGGTGTTAATAATCTTGAAGCATGTAAGCCAACCAAGATTTTATACTCAGCTTCAAGTAGGGCTGGATTTAGAACATGCTCTATGTCAATTCTGATTTTTTTTTAAGGATGGAAGATTTGAAGAGAGTGTAGTACATGATCCTCTCTAATTCATGCTGAAAGAAAGGTGAAGTCGTGTATTAAATTATATTGTTTGAGAGTCAACCCATCAGGGTCATCTCATTAGCAATATCCATTCTGGCATCTTGAACCTTTCTTTCTCTCTCATTATTTTAACTGACTGAATGATGACAATAACTAGATAACTCCATGCTATAGTGTCTATCGGTTCAGGTTTTATAACCACACAGCGTAACCAGTGCTGCATACTAGCACTGGTATAGGAGCATTGTAAACCCATGATCTATATTATGAGTGCTTTATAGTCATCTCTTGGCACTGAGATTTTTAACGCTACTTGATGTTATATCTGAAAGGATAAAATAAGATTAGTAGGCTTGTTGTCAACCAGCAAAACTGCATTTTCTACAAGACTGACGTTTTCAAGCTTGTGGAATTTTGTTCAAAAAAGATACGAATGTCAATTGAGCTATAAAATTTTGCCCATGTGTAAAACACTATCACTGCTTATTTCAAAGAAATGTGCTCAAATAGCACTGTGCTTAAAGAGATTGTTAACTAGCTCTGAATGTAACTACCACTTTAACAGATTGTGCCTTTCAGGTTGGTAACATACGCATCCATGTTTCATTGAATTATTATATTCCTTACAAACAGCTAATGGCTTAAACATGATCAGTTACATCTGAGCACATCATTTCTCAAGGATTAATCCAACAGTCAGTGATGGTAGCAAAAAGGAAAATTTGTCTTCACTGCTCCCAAATGTGTAGCTGTCTTTCTGTAATGAGCAATGAGCATACCAATCTATCTGTATCAGCCTAGAAACAGTTTTGTGTATAAGCTATGCAATGGTAGCAAAATAAATCTGGGAAATCTCTTATACCTAAACTATGGATTTTATCTAAAATAAGGGGAAAAAAAAATTTTAAGAAGGGAGGGGGTGGGTGGATAGTATTCAATTCTATAAACAAATGCCTACAATTTCCTACAGAATCATCGCCTTACAAATTCATGGGTTTTCTTACAGCTGACCTGAGCAATCATGGTGTCTTACTCATCCTACGTGCTTATAGCAGCAGCTGCTTTGCTAGCGACTTGCTATGCACTGCCTAAATATCCAGCAATCCCTGGGCTGCCTGGTATCCCTCGGCTGTCCGGCAGAGATGATCTGAAAGGACAGACACGTCTATCAGGTAACATCCCTTTTTTGCAACAAAGCCTTGTCATGAAGGTTGCATGAATAAAAAGAGTTCACACACAAGGACATGTGCCTTTGAGGAAGCAGGTGTGTTAAGCAGAGAAGGGAAAACTGAACAGACGAAATAGTTTAATTTTGTTTTTCTAAAAGAGATGCCTTCTCTCTCCTCTGTTGAAATGAACAGGTTATCAACACAAACATATAACTATAGTACAAGTAAATATATATATACACACACACCTTTGTAGTGCTTTTCCATTGACTTTCCAAGCAATATGGCTTCTTTCACAGCAGAAGCTTTTTTCTTTTTTTTTTTTTTAATTATGAAGAAAATGTTATTACAGCATTTACAAGTGTAATTAAAAGGCTTCTGGCAAACGTAGTCTGGTAAGGAACACTTTGCACTGTGTAATTTTCTTTCCATGTAGAAATGTTTTCTCCAGATCCATTACCATGGCTAAAGCACTATCATCAAAGCTATTTACAGATGTAATACATTTCAGTTTGAGATTAAGTTCTGTTTCATCCTAAAGTTTCCAGAATATGCATCGATTAATTGGAAAGAAAAATATGTTTCTCTTTTGTTTCCAGGTTTCAGAGAAGCCTCTGGAAGCCTGGTGGGGCCTCCCAGAAAACAACTTACTTGTCCACAGGGTGAGAAAGAAGAAAAAGGGGATATTGGACCATCATGTGAAACAGGCTGATGTCCTAGTAATGTCCTGTCAATCAAATGGACTCTTTATTGGGTCAAATATGTTGGGTTTTTACTGACTGTGCAGTGAAGTAGGAGTTGCAACACTGCAACTCAGAGCGAGGGAGATGCAGCGTATTTTGTGCTTCTACACTGCCATTTGTTTGAGTTGTGAATAATGGGATTACAACCATGCAAGCATGCTGGTAACTTTATTCTATACATAAGACCTTTGTTACCCATAAAAATTTGATTGACAAAAAAAGTTATCTACCTTTACAGTAAGCACCCATCATTAGCAAGCAGTGCTGAATGGACTGTATTTCACACAATCTATACCCTCCTATACTAGTGTTTGTGGTTTCCATTGAGATAAGATCCCACTGTAAAAACACAAAGCATCCACCCAGCAGATTAAAAAGTGGTATGGTGTCACAGAAATTATTCCCTCCCCAAAATCTCCCTTGCGTCTATTCATTATTATTAGAATGAAACAAATTCTCTGTTTGACAAACGTAAGCCTTCAACCTAGAAAAATTTGTTTTCTTCTGTGTAGAGGGGAATTATCAATGCATTTCAATAGGTTGGACATTTTTGTTTACTCTAATATAGGTTAACAACAATGTAAAAAAGTACCCTGAAAAATATTTATTTTACACCAGATGATGTTAAAAAAAAAATACATTGTGTGCTAGTTAGTTTTGGAATGTTCCTAAGGAATTGTTCCTATTAGCAGTGCTTGATTGTATAATTTATTTTTTGTTTGTTGTAGGTCTACCCAATTCTCTGAACACTGAACTCCACAAAGTTTTAGTAAATTTGAAGCACCGACTTTCCAGACTTAAAGGCGGTAATTTTTCCCAATTTTACTTTTTCAGCTCATAATCAGTTTTAAGTGCAACAGGCCAAATTATAGAATCATGACTTGCAAGAAATTGCAATTGAAAATGGTACTACATCCCAAAACTCAATTTCCTCATCCAAAGCAGAGAAGATCAGAACTCATTTTCCATGGAGAAGCAGATTTCTCTCGCGAACGCTGATGTGCATTTATTCAAATTTGTTTTATAAAATAAAAATAATCTAAATGATGTTGCACTTTCCATATGGATTCATGGGAACTCCTCAGCCTTGTACCATGTTGGTCTGCTTCGCTAATCACTTTTAATTTTCTCTTCATCTCTTGATTACTCTTTCTTTGCTTTCTTGTCGATATGCAAAAGGAAGTTGAAAAAGCTAACTAGTTGGGGTTTTTTCTTTTGTGTTTTAGTGCTTGTTTTGAAGGAGAAAATAAGAGAAGTAGGAGAGAAAATACTTGCCAGCAATGGGGAAAAAGTTGATTTTGCATCTGCATTAGCATCCTGTGAAAACGCTAGAGGAACTCTTGCAACTCCCATGAATGAGGAAGAGAATAAAGCTATTATGGGTATTGTGAAAAAGTATAACCGATACGCTTACTTGGGCATTAGAGAGGGTGAGGATTCAGGTCAATTTAAGTATCTAAATGGCACGCCTGTAAATTATACCAAGTGGCACCAAAATGAGCCTAATGGCAAAAGGACAGAAAAATGTGTAGAGATGTACACAGATGGGAACTGGAATGACAAAAAATGCAACCTGAGTCGCCTCACAGTCTGTGAATTTTAAAGAATGACCTTTCAGCCACCTCAGAGAATCAAGACAACGAAATATCCTGTGTTTCAGGTTTACACAACTTCTGAAATTATTCTATGTCAGAAAATCTAAAATTACTCATGATAATTTTTATCCTTAAGAAAATGCCAAATGTGGTAGGTGATTAACATAATTAAAATGTGTCTAATCGGATGTGTTTACCTCTTTTATAGGGTTGGGAATAGCTCAGAATTCTTTTTTCATGACAAAATGAATCTGCACTGTGCCGTTGTGAAGATAAAATTAAGATTTCCAAGGCTTGCCTTGGGATATAGAAAAAGTCTGAAACTAAAATTGCCCATGACTTCACAGTGGAAGCATTTCCAAGTATTTAATAGTTTCTGCCTTAAGAGATGCACAGAGGTTTACTTCACTGGAGCAATTATAGTCTTAGGTTTTGTATGTCTCCTTGATTATAGGGCTTTTAACTGTGTCATACTGAAGCACACACTGATTCATTTAGCATCCATATTTAACTTTCATTTTATAAAAATGGTAGCAGTATCAGATAGAACTTGTTTTCTTAGTTTCTGAAGCTATTCTATATAAAACACTAAGATAAACATTGCATTAGGTAAGCATAGACATAGAAACATATGTATAAAATGCTAAAGATTGTATTTTCTTGCTAATGCATCACGTTCCCTCATAAAACTATGACTGTTGCAGTGTTAAAGGCCACCTGTCTTCTCCCAAACCACTGAACATCCACATAATATTTTGGGGAAGCAGGTAAGATTTGGAAGTTCAATCAGTTCAAACACTAGCTATTTCTCTGCTGATGTCATGCCAAGTATGCACACAGTCAGACCATGACTCAAATCCACTGCAATCACACAGCATCTTTTCACAGATTATTTTCACCACTACTCGGTCTGGAGTAGCTGGTGAGCTGCAGGAGCTCAAAAAAGTACTATGAGTAGCAAATTCTCACACATTTTCCTTGCAGCAAGGAAGTCCTGGGCTCGTCCATTATCATTTTCACACCACCTAAGGATTAAAAAAGGAAGCACTGGAGTTAACATACACACATAAAGACTTGCTTCATCTTCTCCAACCACACATTTGGCTCTGTAAGGGAGCACATAGGAACCTGGACTTGACTCTGGGTGATGCGATGCTATCCCGTGCCCCTAGCCTGCATTGAGGAAGAGATGGGATCTCAATATAGTAATTTCATGCCCTGTGAAGTAGGAAAGTGTTAGCATCTTCAGATTCAGGATAAGGAGATACTTGTGGCAGCAGAGCATTTGTGTACAGCACTGCATAGAGCACTCTAGCTCATCTGGGAGTGCACAGGGACATTGAAATTAAAAAAGTACACCCAGTACCATGTTGCATAAATTTCAGAGCATGAACCTACTTTACAAAATAGCTTCCTTTGAGACCTATGACCATGATACCATTTTGGCTAAAAATTTCAAATGGAAGGGACTAGATCATTTAATGACAAAAATTCTGACTTTGAGGTTACTTTGAGAAAAGATAAGGCTAAACTAGTACCCTTTAATTTTCCTAGGCTTAGCTCCAACCAGCTGCATTAAATCTGCTAGAAAGAGTTGAAGTTTTATTTAAAACTACCTCTATCTCTGGTGATTTAATTATTAGTAATTTAAAGAGTAAACCTTGATATCAATTTCTGAGCCTGTTATACACATTCTTTCTTAGAGCAAGATGATTACCTGGCTTAAGAAGGCATCATGTTGGAGAGAGTGGTAAAACTAAGATAGTTTTAAACTTTCAATAGTTTTAAATTATTTTAGTTTTTCCACTCTCTCCAACATGATGTCTTCTTTATTTTGAAATAATCACTCTACTAACATGATCTTCGAGACACTTGGATGCTTTTTATCCAGTTAAGAAAATTATTACCTTTTTTTTTTCTTTTTTTTACATCAACAAGCAAAGCATCTAGGTTGGGTCTCAGAGACCAATTTCTTTCTGCTTAATTCATTAATACTGGGGGAGGGAGGGGAAGGAGAGAAGAACACACAACAAATTAAACACACATAACCCGCATAAAAATCAGAACTCTTCAGATTCAGTCAAAGAACTGCTAGGCAGCACTCTCTCCTCTGTGGTTCACACTGAATTCTGTAAAATTTGAAGCAATTGAATGAAATTCCTTGGTTATTTTCATAAAATATCTCCACACAATATCATAATCAGCTCTTATCTTCCTATGCTCCAGCCTTCCCCTTAAACATTTCTGAAGCAGCCCTCTTTGTTCTGTGTACAAAGCCTTCACTAGGCCTCATGTATAAAAATGAAAATACCAAAAGGCGGTCCTGGCTGTTTATAAAAACACGCTCACATTCTTTTGCATGGGCTTTTACCTCCTAACTTTGATGAACTTCAGAGGGGGAAAAAATAAAAAAAGTCCAGTGTCAACCACCATACGTGGAATAAACAGAATCCCCTTATAAAAGCAATAGTCTACCAACAGGCTTGGAAAGCATTTTTATCTCATAGGATTCATCTGTGGTAATTAAAATCCTGGTGAAGGTACATTCTACTCAGTAGAATGTTACATGGTTATTCTTTGCAGTTCCATAGAGGAACAAAAAAAATATCCAGAAATCATTACTTTGTTCTTTTAGATGGCTTTTGTGTGTGTGTGTAACCCTAGCGTTTTAAACCCTCATATGCTGCTTAAAGCACTTATAAGCATTTTAGTCTATTTTTCTTGAAAGATCCAAATTATTCATTTATGCATTAACAGATTTTATTTTTTCTTAAATGGACAGAGAAATCAGGCACAAGAAGAAATAGAATAATTTTTTTTCTCTGTTCTGTTATTGTAGAATAAATAATTTTGATAAAATCTTTCATTTAAAATGCAATCAGCAAAAATAATCCCTGATGCACAATGACCAGACCAGGAAAAAGCCAGGTCATTCTTTTTTAATTTACAATAATTTCTTACAGAAAAGCAATCTAACAGCAAGTTCTTTAATTCAGAGAATAACTTATTGACTTCTCAAATGCTATAAAAGCTGATTTTGACAATTAAGATCTCAGTACAAGTTAAAAGGTCACAAAAATTTAGTCACTTCTGAAGTAAATGGCCTTCATATCACGTAAGAGAAATTTAATACAATTTTTATTACAATATATGTAACAGTGAAAGGTTTTTCTAGCCATAAAAATGATGGATGTTGATTTCAGAGTGAATTTGCTTTGGTCTAGAGTGATATCTTTTATAACTGTATAATTTAATTAAGTATTTTAACTTAGAAAGGCTATTAGTAATTTTGAGCAGTCAAGAACCAGTCCAAACCCCATCAGTCCCCATCACATATAAAGAAATGAACCATCAATTACAGCAAGCAAGTATTTTTCTGTGGCTTCCTGATTTTTGTAGAAATTTGATTAAAAGAAACAAAAGTCCCATGGTTCCTGGGAAAACCGAGTTCAAATTCAACACCAGTGAACACAGTAACTGGCAGGATGTGACACAGGCTGGCAGGGCTACCTCCTCTAAATTGTGACCAGTGTCTCCTTTTTTCATTATTATTTTTGAAGCCAAATTTATAAAAGAATAATTATGTTATTTCTCTATTCTTTCCCATAACATATATAGTGGAAAAACACCAGTACTTGCTGCCAGTATTATCCTAGTAGTGCTACAAATACAAAGTAGGCTAACAGTAAATGCAAATGGGAGAAGAAATATTTGCCACCAGGAAATTTGTTAGCTGGTTTTGAAACCACACTGAGAAGTGGCAGAAATACTAATGGCCCTATTACAACTCTTACGAACCAGAGGAAAACAATGTTCTTGGGAGTATTGTGTAATGTTATAATAGACATGTTTGTTTTGACCAGAAAGAGTGTCAGATTGCAAGTGGTTTTCATTATCAGGAGTTGAAATGTACTCTTACAAAATCGTATTAACCAACAGTTATACAAACACACCTGAGTTTAAAGCACAACCATGCTTGGGAAAGAGAGGAGCACCTTTAAAAATGATAAGGGGACTTGAATTTTATTTGAAGTCCCCTTGGAAGGGACTTGAATTTTATTTTATTTTCCTGCTAGGAAATCAGGGTTTGGCAGAATTTCATAGAATCACAGAATGGTTTGGTTTGGAAGGGACTTTAAAGATCATCTAGTTCCAACCCTCCTGCCACAAGCAGGGACACCTTCCACTAGACCAGGTTCCTCAAAGTGCCATCCAACCTGGCAGACACTACCAGGTCCTGTTTAGCTTCTCATCAGCCAACACCCCTTTCTCCTCAAGGCTGCTCTCAATCCAGTCTCTGCCCAACCTGTATCTGTGCTTTGGGGAATGCCCCAACCCAGGTGTTCAAGGGTGATAAGCCAGGTGTGATGCCAGGTGAAACTTGGAATGAAACTTTCATCCATCTCTGCCCTTGTGGCTCAGAAGCCAAAAGGAACTGAACAGCAAGGGTGCCTTAACACTTGAGGAGGATGAAGCAATGGTAGTTATGGTAGCAAAGACTGTAGTGAACAATTTAATGATCTTCCACAGATAATGGAGGACAGCTGCAGAATATAGGGAAAACCAGCTTCATCTGGTTCATGAACATGAGTGGGTTTTTTCTCTCTCTTTCATTAGAATGCTATTCTGCTTCTAACAACTATTGAAGAGATATTGTCTTGCTTTCCATTTGTTATAAGCACAAAACGTTTTCTTCCTGTGTTTTTCAGTTGAGCTGTATCAAGTGCCATATCAGAGCCAACTAGTGACCTCCACGTGGATCCTTCACGCATAACTTAGATCAGTGGAGTGAGGTGACAGCAGCATTTACAAGCACTGATCACACTGACTACAAGTAAATGTTGTTCATAAAAAACCAAAAAAGCCATGTTGAAGTTGGCCATCCCAGGTGTCCATCTCTTGCTGAGTCCTTTGCTTCCTGTTTTTAAGTAAAACTCAGTAAAACTAACTTCAGCCCTCCTCTGAGAGGGGGAGCACACTAGGTCCTGCATGCTTCTCCTGATATTTCCAGGCATCAGGGAGTTGCTGGGAACTATGATTTGGAAGAGAAAAGAAAATGCAGAAAGCACAGGACAAGGTGGAAGCAAGATAGGATGGAAACAACAGCAGAACAGCACAAAATCAATGTAAACAGAAAATATGAGTGGGAGAGGGGCCATTTAAGGACAAATAGAGAAAAAATAAATTTTTCAAGGGTGAGGTGTGACTAGCACTGTGAAGGTAAAAAAACAACTTTCAGGAGGTTAAGTATACAAAGGCACGGCTAATAAACAGGGTTGTGGAAGGAACACACATCCACTTTCATAATCTGAAATTCAACTCTAGTGTCTATTTCTCAAAACAGCTCAGAAAGTAATGTTGACAAATGTTTGTCATTAGCATGTTTTGCATTTCCCTACCTACATTGTGCAACACATCCTGCTCTCAGAACATCCTTTATTTGCTATACTAGCACTGAAATTATAAACCTTTCAATTATAGATGTGGAAACACAGAAGGAAAGTCACCTCAATACTAAAGTCTCATTTGTTCTTTATCAGATCTGTATCCTTGTCTCTGCTTGAGCTTCTGTGAGATGCAGCTCAAAACAAGAAAACAGTTTACAAGTTATGACAGCTATATAGAATATTCTATTAGACAATTATAAAAAAGCACAGTATAAATGTAAGATTTTTTAGGTATCTCTTTAGCTTGCTCTATCTTATCAAAACGCTGATGAAAATCAAGAGAAGTTCAGAATTTATCAAATCTACATCAGTTCTTCCCAGGAGTCGGTCACACAAAACTTCAGTCTCCCTCCTGGTTTTCCAGGCCATCAGACAGCATGTGAAACCCACTAATGGAGGCCAGGCCTCATCCTCTTCTCACGCTTCCCTAACATGCAGATTCTTCCAGATGCAGTTGAAATGCTGAAGTTGCAAAGGCCCAGGTTCTGCAGTGACCTTTTCTAAGGCTCATCTGGACCCTAGGTAAGAGCTTGCCTTGTGTTCTGGGTTATTTTCAGGCTTTTTTGTTAGGTTGGGTTTTGTTCAGTTTTGGGGGTTGTTTTTTTTTAAAAAAACAGTTAGAAAACTTCAGCTAAAAGACTGGTGAAAGCAGTAAGTTAAACACTCCAAAGCTAAGAAATTTGAAACTTTACACAAAGATTACTCATACAAATTTAAAACAGCCCTCTTCTGTCAGCATACATGCAATTGGGTACTGCTTATTTATTTTTCACAGGACTGGAGCCTTTTCAGGGCACCCAAGAAACAATGCTGCAGGAATTAATCAGGTTCATGTGGGCACAATAACAGTGACAAAGGACTCTGTATCAGCTGCTGAGCTAAGTATGAAAGTGCAGGGTACAGGTGCAGAGAGCCTGTGGAGGTGATCTAGGCTTGCTTAGATCCAGTAGCATCTTAGAATAGTATGGATATTGCTCACATTCCCTACCTAATGTCAGAGCACCTATTCCTCAACTGGCTCAGCTTTTAGCCTTGCTGCACGCAACATGAGGGTACTGGCCTGACACCACAAGGATAATGTGACCTCATCTTATACTTATTGAACTGGAGACAGCCTCAAACTCCTTTTCTAAAAAGTCATAACTTAAAAATGCACCGCAATGCATTTGCATTTCAGCAATGCTCCGTGTACTTGAGGCCTCTGTACTTACAGGACTGGTTTAGAACAGCTTTTTCCTTCACTGAAAGGTCATTGTTCTATTGGATAAGCTTCTTATTTATGATACATAAACTTCCCCTGGAGTATTCTGTAAGTTATTAAAGTATGTGCTTCTGTGGCTACATATGATGCAGATGTACCGTTGGTTTTTCATTTGGTGCTAGTATTATGAGATTGTTTAGTTATAAGACTTCAGTAATTATCACTGACAACTTCCCTATCTATAAAGAAAATTATGGTGGTGTTCCTGGTACGTATTTCAGGTGAACTTGTTTTAGCTTATCTTTAGTGACATTTACAATTTAACATTTACACAGCTGCTCTGTGGAAACATTGGCTATTTCAAATAAGTATTGAGAAATTCTTTGTTCTGCTCTAGGGCTGGGGGTTTTTAAACATGCAAAAGTGTTTCCACAAGTCGACAAAGTACCCTTCAAAAATTTTCCTCACATTTTAAGTGTGTTTACCTATTGAAGAAAATAATCCCCTATCATTCAAGTTAAAGTTCATTACACTTCTATTCATATGCAAATTCATATTATATTACATGCCCTTTTCATTTCCTGTTGATAACAGGATGAATCTCAAGTTACATACCCTATAAATTAGACCATTTAATGAGTCTTCCTTATTTCATATTGGAGCTGCTAGGTAAGTTGAACATCTTTAAATAGTTTTCCACTTAAATTATGTTGAATCCTATTAAACTGTATCACAAAACTTTCAATTTTAGATTTTTCTTTGTGTCTCAACATTTATATTAAAACTTTCACCTACTTTTGCAAAGGATATCACCTGAGGTGAAGATACTTTGAAAGATGGATGCCATAATGGGAGAATAAGTTTTAACAATTGTTTTGCTCTTAAACCAATTGATAAAGAAAGTATATCCCAGTTTATATTAACCTGTCTTTCTCTTATTAAAGCAGACATGTGTCTATTGCTCACCTGTAAAATTAAGGCCAAAACTTTAGCTTTTTGCATGGGAAAAATGGCATATAATGGTATCTGCTGTACAAAAGAGAGCTTTGAAGGGGATGTTTTGGTTTTTTGCTCTTCAGGCTTGTAGACAAGCAGACTGGGGTTTTTTGAAAAAAATTTCAATTGTTCACAATAACCTAACTTGATAGTACATCAGTGGCACTCATGTCACTGAGGGCAAAGCTTAAGGTGCATAAAACTTCAAACTCAGACAGCAAAATTATGATACATTGTGGTTTGTTGGGTTGTTTGGTTTTTTTTTTTCCATGCAGGACTCTACACTGGAGAGTAAAACCATTTTACATTTGGCATTAAATAATGCTGTGTCCACAGTTGTTTCACAAAATCTTAGGAGCAGCTTTTTTCCTGCTCCTATGTTGCGTTCAGGTTAAACCTGCAAGAATTCCTCCACTGTCCGGTGTCGCACATATGACCGAAGATGGGCTACGTAGAGGATTTATACCAGGTACATGCAGTTACCATTTCCATTTTTATCCAGATGTGTTGTTGTGTTCTACTTTTATGCTTTGTAAACTGAACACTTTTGTATAATCTGATGTGGGTTCTACTTGACAGAAAATAAACAGAACTTTATGAATTCCTTGTATGAAGTAATATGCTTAAATCTCTCCTACTTAATGATGCAATGGTTCAATTCACAGAGAAAAGATATTTTGCATAACACATGGCACAAGAAACTTGTTCCTAAGTGTTAAGCTGGAGCTGCAAGCAAGTGCTTGAACAGCTTGAAGGATTCTGTCAACATTTTCTAGACACAGTTAAAAATCAACTAAAATTACTACAGAAGTGCCAGTGTTTTGCCTGGGCTGGCTCAGTCACTTACAGAGGGAAGACTAACTCAGTTTGCTAATTCAAGTTTTCCATAGACATCACTGCTTTGCATGTAGTCTCCAGGAATGTATTCCTTATCCTTACAAAGATCAATGTGTAAAAAGATCCCCAGTTTAAAATACAACAGTAAACTAAAACAGGCCAAATATTTTAAAGGGAATATTAATTTCACATTATTATCTCTGCTTTGTCTTGAAAGCCAAGATTCAAACTGTAACACAAAATGCATGGTTTTGTTCATAGGTTTCCTACCACTGGCTGATAATGAAATGGAAGATGTCCGTCAATTAGATCATGAGATTTCCAGACTTGAAGGAGGTAATTTATCTGCCTTTACTCTCTGCTGTATTTGGATTAGTGGGCATAAACAAAATGAGCAACAAAATGGTTTCTTAGGAAAAAAAGGTAGAATTTTCTGCAGTTCTACTGCATTCTAATTACATTCTGTTCACTGGTAGATAGAAAAGTGATAACTCTCAAGTGGGGGGAGGGGAGGATTAGTTTTTCATAACTAGTCAAAGACACCTAAGGTACAAGTCAGAAGTTTATCAGATTAAAACCTCTGCCTTGCAGAAGTGCTCCATGGGCATCTCATGCTCAAAACAGACAAATAAACTCAACACTAAAAATATAACAAAACAATCACAACCAGACCACACCTAAGGGCCTACTAATTCAAGCACTGACATACACCCTCGAATACTGCAAACTGTCTCAGAGAGCTTATACAGTCTCAAAGAAAGTATTAATATACTTTTCCAAATGTAGAATTCCTCATTTTCTTCCCTCCTTCTCCAACCTCTTTCGTGCTTCTCCTATTTCATTGAGTATTTATGTGTTTCTTCCTTTTCCCCCCTTTCCCTTCTTCTTTTGTGATTTCTTCTGCCTTTTCATGGCTGTCTTTTCTTTCTTTAATCTTTATTTTCAGGTTTTCCTCTCCTTTACCTTTTCCTGGGTTTAATCTAAAGTTATGGACATGTCCTGGTTTTGGCTGGTTAAACCAGGACAGGAGGAAAATTGCCACAAATTGTAATCCCTACTAAGTGACCACAAAAAAAATGCATAAAAGAGTAACAGCTTTCACCTCATCTTGCAGTCCTCCACTTGAAAAAGATGATAACAGAAGCTGGAGGAAAAATATTTTCTACCAATGGGAAAAAAGCCAATTTCGAAACTACACTGAACATATGCAAAGAGGCTGGCGGGTCTATTGCCACCCCAAGGAGCCTGGCTGAGAATGATGCCATTCTGTACTTTGTGAAAAGTTTTAATACCTACGCCTACCTGGGGATAAAGGAATCTCTAATTCCAAGTACATTCCAGTTCCTGGATGGTACAAAGCTGAACTATACTAACTGGTATTTAAATGAACCTTCTGGCAAAGGGGAAGAAGAATGTGTGGAGATGTACACTGATGGCACTTGGAATGACAAGAAGTGCAACTATAATCGTCTTATTGTTTGTCAGTTTTAGTGATTCCCCCTACTGCTCTTTGGCAGGCTCCCTGGAATACCTTTACCTATCCCTTTTCTCTTCATTTGTAGTTAGTGAATTCAGATAATGCAGTGTGAAAAATGAGTCATTCTTTCCCAACCTGATTTGCCTTTTGAACGAATGTCAGCCATAAAGAGCAAATACTTAACAAAAGCAGTGGCTATTTTGTCTCTTCTGTTATTCATTGCCCACTCAGTTTCTTGATACAACTGCCTACGAGTTCCTACTACCCCGTTAGCCTGCTGACTTGCTACAAGAGTAAATTACTTGGGCACATACCTGAAGCAATTTGCAGCCACATGATTTTCCAGCACTCCTTTACCCACAAGCCTCTATATTGTGTGCATTTTGAGGCCTTTCTGTAAGCTTCCCTCTAACCTACCCATACACCCTGCTACCACTGCTGTTGCTCAGCCTGCATTTCTTCAGCCATCTTCACCCAGAAGAGATCCCCTGACAGAAGAAATAACCAATGCTGCTAGGGTGACAGAGAGCTATGAGCACAAGGGTACTTCCGCACCTTACATTTCCCATGGGAAAGCTTTAGACTCAGCAGGTCTTTAACCTTCACATAGCCGAAGAGTGGTGGCCAGAACCTACCTATCCTGAGCCCCTCCAGCAACAGCTAATTCCTTTCCTGACTCAAAGGGGTAGCAGCAAAAGCTAGCCAAGGTCCCATGCCATGTGGATTGTGTGTGGAAGAAAATACACAGGAGCTGACACGAGTTAAATGCCGACATGGTTTAGGGAGATCAGTAGAATCATGATAAAGCCAATTTTAAGCTAGATAGAGAAATTCAGATACAGCTAATTCCGGGGCACCACAGTGCTGCTTGGCAAACCTTTGTTGGGATTTCCATGGGGCTTGGCGAATTCCTACATTTCTGAAGCAGCCTATACTCTGCGCTCAGTAAGAAGCTGCTCAGAGCCTGCATCCTCCAGCTCAAGCTAAAGGATTAAGAGAAAGCTTTCTGAACAACTCTGTTATTGGAGTCCAGTCACCTACTGAAGTTGAGTATTCCCAAGGTTAGATTCACAGCTGTGCAGTGTAACAGGCACATCCAGAGATGGCTTTTTGGGTTTTTTTGTTCCTTCCTCTGGGGCAGTTGACTTCATAAGCTCCGTGATGTGGTACAAAGGCTGGTTGAGCATCTGGGCATGCCTCCATATACATAAAAACAGATGCCTGGCTATCAGCCATACTCACATATACTTTGCTAGTTCCAGCTTGGTCTTGGAGAGCTGAGCAAGGAAGCCAGACCAGCTCATCTTACCCTCTGTGTAACAGTCAGAACAGTCAGCATAGGAAGGTAACTGGGGAGGCAAGGTGAGCTCACAGCTGCTGTGAATGCAGGGGCCAGCAAAGGGGCTGCTTGCAGACTCATAGCCATGCACATCCCTGTAATTCCAGAGTGGCAACTGGCCATGCACAACATTCCTGCACTGGCTTAAATTCAATTACTCAAATATTTTAAGTATACATTCTCACCACCTGCTCTGTGACATGACATGGATCCTCCTGGCCTTGATTCAGCCCTCTGCTTGGTGTCAGGGCCTGTGAATCATTCTTGCTGTTATTCTCTGCAAACTAAGCAATTTATCTTACAGGTATTTTCCTAGAATGATTAATGCAACAAGACTAATGTCAAACCCAGACACCTTTCTGCTTGAACAATTTGGTGCCTGCAGGTGGTCTACCTTCACAGGTTTCTTAATTATTCAGCAGCATTTAAATGCTTCATCACAATAATGCATACTAAATAGGACCATGCTTCCCTGTTTCAGGAGCTGTGAACTTATCCAAACCTATGCAAACAGTAAATTTTGTGAGCAAAGTCCTCAGTTTATCCAACACATCTTTCTGGCATGTAAGGAGCCAGTAATAATGGCCTATCTCTGGGAAACATAGCCAAAATATTAAACTACTGGATCCTATATCATGTAAGGTCCAGGCAGACTGTTACGTTGCTATGTTAACCCAGTTGAAACAGGTATGTAGATGGGAAATGAGGACTTGGGTGTCTATAGGCACTGTTTCACTTTCAAACTCTATTATTACTCTGAAATGTTTTACAGCTCATCCATCCACAGCCTTCAGCCTTGCATGACTCCTATTGTGAAACTAACTGCCACGAGCACAAGGAAACAGGAATAAATGCAGGCATCACCTCATACAGTAGTTTTCCACTCATTGTATTCTAGTAAAGTTTAGGAAGTTTAGAATGATTAACATCAACCCAAGAATGAAGTTGGACCTCCCACATGTTTAAAGCCATAATAAGGTTTTTATTTTATCCTGCTTATCGCCAGGGGGTTACAGTTATGTCAAAATTAGAGCTGTTCACAGGTGTGTGAAAGAAATTGGCTGCCTTCAGTTGCAGTCTAATGAGCATGTCCCACAGTGAAAGTGTTCCCCCTTCACCCCATGTTTAGGCATCTGACCCTGTGGACTCCCATGGAAGAAGATAAAGGACAATGCATCATTGCACAGCTACAGATGCTAGCCCCATTCGTACACTCTGGCTACTTGTGGTACTAGATAAGAACCTAAAGCTTCAAACAAAGCAAATATTTCTCTCCCTGCCTGAAGCTGCTCCCTCCAGCAGCCCTGCTGGGAGCAGGCAGGTCTAGAACCAGTAGTTTTGGCCTGAAAAGGAGATTGGTTCATCATTTGGGCACCTAATTTATTTCCTAAATCTGAATGAGAGGGCAGCACAGCATCCTCTGGTTTGTAGAAAGACAGGACTCCCCCCAGGTTGGCAATTGTTTACTTCAAGGTTATTTTATGAAACATTTATGAATTTATTTTATAAGCCTAATCTACTTTATCCTAACCTTAAATACTAGTTGTGCCTCATAAGAATGTCACCATTTACCATGTGTTTACCCATACATGTACTAGATGATCCAGCTTGCTGACCAGCCAAGCTGTGATGTTGTTCAATTTTCAGCCAATGGAGAGCACTGCTTCCAAAGACAAGAGTAATACCACCATCACTTGGATTAAATAAGATTAAAATCTTGCTAAACTTAAAAGCTACTAAAAAACAGGATAAGCAGATTTCTCAGGGGGAAAAAAAAAAAAAAAATTAAAATGAAGCTGGTTACTGATTCTGCCTTGTATACCGGAAAACAACAAAAATACTCATCCTGAGAAAAATTATTCTTAACAGTGATTTTCTGTAACAATATCATATTTTCCTGTGTTTTCTGTGTTTTGCAAAAGTTTGAAAAAAAAAAAAAAAAAACTATTGCCAGTTAGGTGACTTTGACGGTCTTGCTTGAAGTTTGAACTTTGGTTTCCATAAGTGCAAGCATATACCCCTTTGATACATCCATGCCAAGACAGATAGTCCACAAACTTAAGTATCTCCACCAACAGGTTTTTAACTCAGGCTGCAGTTTGGCCCTCATATCTTTCCCTGTCATCAGACAAGTGCTAGAGGCAATACTGCGTACAGATTAGAGGGCCAGTTCTCAGGGACTGTGTAATGCCATCTCCACAACTGCATGGACCAGAGCCAGAGCTGCTTTAGCAAAGCCTCTGAAAACCTTTCTTACATGCTTTTTACTCCATATAATAGATACTGGAGCAGCCTGACTGTGGCTGTGATTTTTCAAGTACTTAAATAAAGCTAAGCTTGTTGTTGAACATATAGTTGGAAGAGAGTTGGGTGTATGAAGAGCCTTGAGAGTTGTGTGTGCAACAGTCTTAGGGGCAGCAGCCTTCATGCTCTGAAGACTGCATATGCTACTCATTAAGTAACTCAGATTCTCTACTTGTTATCAGATTATTTACTTCTGAGTAAGTAAGATGATTTACATGGAAAGCCAGAGTGGTTTCCTGGCAAAAAGGGGACATCATTTTTCACTACAAGTGACTGTACCCTAAAGCAGCTTGTAAGAGCCAGCTATTGTTTTGCTGATCCTGAGCAAACTGTGGTCAAGGCAGAACAGCTTCATCTTTTCTTTGGAAAGGATTGTGCCCCTTTAAGAGCACCAAGTGGGAGGTGATATAGGCACTGCTGTACAAACAAGTACCTGTGCAGACTGCTGTGCTCACCTGAGCCTCACACAGCTGCAGGGACACTGCCCTCACCCTCCCTGGTTTGTCTGACAGGTTGACCATCTCCTCTATCATGCACTCTTGCTGCCTGTTAGCAGAAGATGGACGCCCAGACAAAGTGGACTGATTTTATCTGCAAGACTTGCAAGGCGCCTAGAGGACACTGAGAAGGTATGAGTGGACTGAAAAGAAATGAATGTGTACAGGACCACACAAGGTTTAGAGAAAGCCAGAACTTATTTTAGGTAGTCAAATTGAGAAAGAAGTGAACATTCAACTCAATTACTTGCTGGCCTTTTTGAAAAAATAAGGAGATAGTCAAATTATTGCTAATTTTCTTAAGAACACATCAGCCGGGAAGGGTTGAAGAGGAAAATATAGAGCTTCTATATGTAATATAGAAGAATAGTATATGCAACATAATTTAAGCTTATTAACATCAAAATAGTTTGCTAAATTAATAGTTACATCTGCAAATGCACTGCATAAGACAATCCCTTATTTTCCTTCTGAAGTTAACTGACCTTCAGCTTGTATAAGTTTATTCAGAAGTGTTTAAAGTTATTATTTCATAACAGAAAATGTCCGTTTGACTCACAGATGTATATAACCCTTCTCTGCAATACATTCAAGAGTTAGTAAACCAACGGACATATGCCAGGAACTTTAAGTTAACACAAAGCTACCTTATTAGATGAAACATAGAAATCAGAATTTACATGTCCAGGAAAAAGTGATTTATGTATACTTAAATAAGAGCTGAGAAACACTTCTTTTGCGTTCTAACTTTCATTGTAGTCACCTGCTTACTTTGCAAGTGAGGTGAAACATACTTCAACTAAAGCACGATCAACAAAATTCCAGTGTACTATACTACTTTTACATTATTAAATATGCTGTCTTCAATATACTT